GCAACGTATGTAAAAAATCGGATCACTGTTGAAATCAAGATGGCGTACGATCAATAATAAAAACTGCGTAGTTCACTAACAAACGTAGGTATTCACTTTTCATCATCGATGTAGAAATAAAAATTAAAACACTAAACATTTATTAAATAAAAAGTAACACTTACCAATTTAATCACTAGAATTTAGTCTGATAAAACACAAAATTTCAATAAAATTGTTATCTCTGACGAACAACTCTAAAAAGTCACACGCTTATGAATTCCTTTTTCAATTTCTCGTTTTGAAATGCGCTGCGAGCACCGATGTACCCTTTTTATAGACACGGTCTCGGGGAAAATCAATGCTGCGAACCACACCGAAGATTTTACCGAACATAGCCGAAGCTTGATATGTCTCTTTTTGGCACTCGTGAAAAGATAGAGACAACCAATATATTCTAGAACGCATGCGTTGCTCATTTTCCTTTGTGACGTAAACTGTTTGGTCTGGAACGGGTGGAAGCCCAACAAAACAAAGCGGATTCTGCGTTCTGCGAATCATGGCGATCAATAATAACACAAAGTTTCGACACAAAATAATGCCGTTGCTTTCTGTTATTGATTTAGAGTAGATCAACCTAAGGTTTAATAAAAACAAAACAAAAATCGATAGGTAATAATTAAGTACCTACATATTACCTAACTGCCTTGCCTAACTGTAGTTATTAGTTCATTAGTATCTTTGTATTAATTATGTTATCATAATCACATAATTAAATTAAAGAAACAACACGAGCATAGGTACCTACTTAGAAAACAATACTTAACATATCCTAATGAAATAGGTACTTAATACCCATGGGTATTGGTAATGGTAGGTAAGTACAGAGGAAAGTGCTTATTTTGAAAACTGATCAGATTATTCATTCGATAAAGGGCACATTTTATTACAATGTGTTTATTTTAGTCTGAAATTAACCCTGTTTATAAATAGAAGCTTGTTTAATTTTAGATAAGTAGGTACTTAAATTATTCTAAGGTTCGCGGAATAAGTAGTTTGATTGAAACAATATAACCACCACATATTTATAAGGTCGTATCTACAATAATACCCAATTGGAATAATAGAAAGGAACCTAAAAGTTACTAGTTAAAGAATTTTTGTATTTACAGATATATGTAGGACTAGGATATACAAAATTATCGGTTTAGATTGCAGTTAGAACTATCGATACACCTATAGATAGGTAGGTATCACTCATCGGTACTTATATAGGATCTGGCTTCTAAGTAGGTACCTTATGTAAGTAATACAGAGTTATTATTGTTAAGCTAGAAGTACAATTGCATCAGATACTGTATTCAATCAAGAGTACCTAAGTTTAAATTATACCTGGGTACAAGTATAATACGTATAGTTGTACATTTGTGTAATGGCATGATCGGATGACTCATCGTTTTTAAGGGGAATACGTGTCGAAGTGAAATTATTGTGCAATACCTAAAACATTTTCTTTATCACAGTTTTAATTTTTCTCTCCTTCCTTCCTTTTTATTTAGAAGGATATAAGAATAGGGTTCAAGGAGATGGAGGTGATGAGGGTTATCTGAAATCTGTATCTACATACATTAAGCTTCTACAATCGGTAGCTTTATCAATATACTGAAGTATTTATTTTGTCTGAATCAGATTCCAGACGACCAGATGAGCGAGGCGTGTCAAAAGGTCAATAACCTCGGTGAGGGAGGGCGTCATTGCATTTTTAAACAGTAAATTAAAGGTACATAAGCTTTGGGTTCAATATTCTTGACACAAAGATACGCCTTATTCTGCGTTTTTTAACTGTGTTATGAGAGCATTTACAACCCATATGACTTGGCAATCGACCCTGTGGCCAGGGCCGTCTTGGACTACGCTGGGGCCCTTGGGCACACAATAATTCGGGATCCTTTTGGAATGTTTCCTTTTTTTAACGTTGCCCCACACTAGGATTTTCTCATGTATCGTGGGTACAACAATACAAGTTCACGTATACATGACACCTAGACAAAAAGCAACAATTTGTGGATCAAACAAAGATTTGCTCCGTGCGGGAATCGAACCCGCAAAGTATAACACTTTGCCGGTTGCCGAGCAACGTGTAGCGGGTGTGTCCGTCGTAGAAATTGGCGGTCCGTCCAGGCCCCCTGAGGATGCGGGCCCTAGTCACGGGCCCCAAGTGCCCATATGGTAAAGACGGTACTGCCCGCGACAGCCAGGAGTAATAGGCACCAACAACAAAATTGGTGCGTACCTAGTTACTTCAGTAGCTTTTGGGGGCATTGGTTTCGCCCGGTGTAAAACTGCGTAGGCGAATGTTTCCTATTGAGATATGTGTACATTACTCTTTCATCGCAATATATAGACAAACAAACCTGATTAGACTAAAATGAAAAGTATCTAATATTTTCATGTCAGTCGGCCGATGGTCGGGCGCGAGGTTATTCCGGTCATTATCATAAATACCTATCAAAACAAGTGAACAAACGTGATGTTTGCATATCTATCTGATAAACAGTAAACAGGCAGACCTCTATCGTTTCTACATCACTCTAGAAACGTAATATGGACATACCTATTCTATTGTTCACAAATCATAATAAAATTATCGAACAATAGCATTGATTTTATAAATATAAAAATGTATATGAGTATAGTGGGCCTTCCTGCTGATTTATACATAAGAGCAGTTATGTTATGTACACAACTAGCAATGATTGAGAAAGAAATAAAATTATATTTTGCAGTTCTATTGCGCTTTACGTAACAACAAAGCATGATTATTGATTGTTGTGGTAATGAAAATAAATAAGTACTGCGACAGCGACCGTGGTATTTTATTTTTGTCATGTACCTAAAAACAGGTGCCCAAGCACCAGGTACCTTGATGCCACACAAAAACTATGCAAGTATATTTTTATAAGACTTCGTGCTGTTTAATTTCGAAATCGAAAGTACATTAGTCTAACAAGTCTACTTCATTGCGTGTCGCGGGTTCGATTCCCGTCCGTAAGAAAAATTTGAATTTATAGGTAGTTATAATTATAACAGGACTGAACTGTAAATCAAGTAAGGTACCTAAGTAGGTTTAGATACAGTTATGTATGTTACAGTGGGTACAGTCGTGAATGTATGATTATTGCCGTATTTTAACATTCTACAAAAATATCTAGGACATGTTAATTAATTATTGTTATAACATCGTTATTGAGCAAACAGTATGCTTCCGACAATCTGATCGTCTGTATACGAATCTAGATTTTAAAATAAGAAATATTTTTATTATATTCTTCATTTTCGCGGATGTTTCGAGGTTGCACGTGTTTATCGTTGCGCACATAGCATTAATACATTATACTACGCGGAACTATTAGGAATAGGTATCCAGTAACTATTAATACCGCACTTTATTCAATGGCAGTGCAAGGCTATTAAACCTATGATTTTCACAGTTCGCATCGCCGCATAAACACTTCGTTTTTGGTATAGTGCCAAGTAAATATTTTGCGTGCGTAAAAAGATTTCCTGGAGATTTTAATGAGGGCATTTGTTTTCAAACGAATTCTCTTATTCTACTAGGTGATTCAACCTTTTATATGAAAGTTCTCTTAAATGTTTTTAGGTGTTAAAAATTAATGTTTTGTTCACTAGTAACTTTATTTGCCCTCAGTCTCTTTCGCCTTGTAATAATGGCTTGCCCCAGGGCCGTCTTAGATTGCCCCACACTAGGATATTCTCCTGTTTCGTGGGTTCATTCACAAACCTACAAGTTCACATACACATGAAACCCAGACCCAGAACAAGTATTTGTGGTGCACACAAAGATTTGTTCCGTGCGAGACGGCAACCGGCTCCCGTGCGACTTGTAGTGGGTGTGTGTGTGTCGTAGGAATGGGGATGATGACAGGGTATGAAAATTAAAAATATAATTAGTCCGTAAGTTAGGTAATGAAGAAATATTAGACACGTATTTTTTTATTTTGTCGTATAATAAAACAATACTTAGATAAAACGAATCAAAGTTTAGGAGTGGGGCTAAAACGTCATTCCTTAGTATAAAATGTACTGAGAAGTGACGTCACGCGACATTTCAAATCAATATATCTTCGAAACTATTCGTTTCTGTGAGAAAAGAAAAAATACGTGTCTAATGTTTTTAAATAATCTACCAGACGGACATTAAAATAAAAATTAGTCGTCTACCCTATTGAAGGCGGCCCTGCGCATGGGCCCACGAGTCCCATACAGAAAAGACGGTACTGTTTATGCCTAAATTTTTTATGTTCCCTAAAATCTCCCAAGTTATGTTCCCTAAAATCCATCAAGTCTTTTATTTGAATTCTAAAATTTAAAGGATGCTATTAAAATTCATTTGTTATATACATCTAATGCCATTGCATTATGATCCATTCTTTAAAATACCATGTAAGTCTAGTCTAGATGGGTACAAATACAAAAGAATGCATGATGCTACTTCTTTGAATAAAGTAATACAACTGGTTTATTATTATACAAAGAACCCATTTAGCCATAGCATTGACCTTATAATAATTTAAACGAAAAGAGTTTTGTAACCAAGATGATAACATTGTTATATACTTCATGGTATTTTAATGATACTATTACTGATTATCAAATTAGTTATATCTTTGTTTTGACTATGTAAGTAATAGAAATTGATTTACTTATTTCTTAACTATGTTAGTAATTACTATAATCTAATCAAAATAACTAAACAATGGTAATTAAACTGTCAAACACCGCGGTCACCGGTGACCACAACCTATTGTTCTTTAATCTTTAATTGTGTCTATAATGATGGTACTAAAAGAGTTAAATTAAAACAACAACATTATCATGTAGTCTTCAACAGTAATTATTATTAAAATAAACTAAGAATTAACAATATTTACACCAACAATACAAACAACTTTGTAGTTTATGACTATAGGAATAAAGCACAATATGGAATAGCTTCCTAATCACTTCTTTTTTTCTTCTACGGCTTCCCAAGGGCGAGGCCCTCTCTTATTTTCCCAGTTGTCTATGTCAAGTTTTTGTATTTCATCATATGTTTGTTCCAAAGTGACATTCTTATCTTTGTTAAGTCCCATTTTTGCTGCCTCTTCTTTACTCACACCTTTTACCTTAGAAAATTGGTATCTGAAAAGGAATATTAAGAAATTCTATTAGTTTTTGCCATAAATATAAATACATCTTATAAATAATAGAAATTGGATAAATGTTTGTAAATCTTAGATTTATCACCTGATATAAATTCCCAAAATTTGATTATACAAGTGTTTCTAAACATTGGGAATAAGATCTATAATGGAGTTAGTGGAGAGGCGGCTCTCCTCTCTCATCTCTCTCGCCTGTGGTGGCACCGGTGACCACTTGAGGACTGATCAGTTAAGATGACATTTTACATAAAATTCATTGATTTAATTATATACATACATTGGGATATTTTATCCTACAAATAATGGGTAAAGACATAAAAATTGGAGGAAACTACCAGTACCTACTCATATAAAGGGAAGGATGACAAATAGGCAATTTATTACTAAACCATTATCTCAACATAATTATAAAAATGTGTACTCAAATATAATTGAGAAATATATACAGATAACAGAAATCAGTATAGGTATATCATCAACTTATCATTAACATAATTATATTGAGTAATGCATGCTTTTACCCAAGATTTCATCAGCATTTTTGAAATAATTATTTGCTTATCAACATATCCATATTCAGGATATGACCTTATCTCTATTTACTTATGACTTGGCTAATTTTAAACCGATTACTGTTCTAAGAGAATTGGGTGCAAATCATGTGTGATTTGTTTAATAAATTATGATTATTTGTACCTACAATAATATTATGTACTTAGTTTGTACATAATTTAATATCCAAGTGGTCGTACTTAAACACTGGCAATAATTTAGGTATGATAACAGAAGGAAGCAATGTTAAACTATTTTATATAATTATATTAATTTCTTTACATAGTACGATGCCATAGTAAAGGCGCTGTTTTGCAATGACGTTATACAATAGCAAACTGAGGTTATTTTAATCATATTAGTTAGAATAATACTGTAATTGAGTTAAAAGGGCAAGTATGTTTTTCAAAGAAAGTAAAAATCACCTGATTTGTGTCCATTCTCGCAAACCGAATGATCCTCCAACAATAAACAAAATGAAGGGCAAACCATACTTAAATGATTTCCGTTTGCTTAGGGACGAGAGGTTATTATACAAAGAACCTAATCGTGCATTTAATTCTTGCATCGTTTCCAAAATATTAGGAAATTAAAGAAGATAAACACCGTGAAAGTGATATAACAACATAACCTAAATTCTGATAGTGACAGTTCCGTTCCGTCAAAATCAAAAGTCAAATGTCTACTCAAAATCAGATTTTTATTGTAGAGGTGTAGAGAAAACTATTACATATTATACATTTGTGTTTTAAAACACTTCAAAATATGATTTATTTCTTTATTTATTGACAGAATAGACTACCGGAAAATTATTATTATTTCCATGACAGCTATTACAACAAATATATTTGTTTTAGAACGATGGTCGCGACTGTCACTAATCAGCTGATTTCGCCATCTTTCTAAATTTTGTTGTTTAGCGTCACGGTGCGTCAGGCGTCAGCTTCGAGTTTCTTTGAAAATCTTTGTTCTATTTACTAATACATATTGTGTGAAATGGTGGGATCTATAGCTAAGTGATACGGCGATATAAACCATGGCATCCACCAGCCAAGCCAAACCAGTGTATTACGAAGATCCTCCGCCCGGTGCTCTTAACGAAGATGAATTTTTCTGTACGGAGAGAATAGTACCGCGTAAAATCAAGCCTCAAAATTTAGTGATACGACTTATGGATAGAGAAATTTACGGTTCACGAAAACCTGGCTCTCACTTTCATGTCGTTCGAGAGTTTTATCAAAACGTGTTTCCGAATTTGACTATTGTAAATGTAGAAAAACCACCATGTTTCCTGAGGAAATTTAGTCCAGATGGAAAGCATTTCATCGCATTTTCTGCTGACCAAACATCTCTAGAGGTATAGACATGGTTTTATTACATAAAATTGTCTCTATGCTTTTTCAAAACATACTTTTGAAGTTTTTAAATGGACTTGTAACACATTTTTACAGATTTATGAGTACAGAGGTGCCTCTGCTGCTGGAGATCTAGTTGCAGGATATCCTTCAGATTTACTCAATGCTGATGCTGATGCACACCATAGAATCAGAACTCACATTTTTTACAGGTTTTTTAAGGTAAACATCTTTTATGAACTTATTTATGAAGTGGATGTATTACCAAACAATATTATGAGTTTCAAATTACTATTCTGTGTCTTTTCAGCCAAAGTTTACAGTAAATGTGTGTCAGCAAAGAGAAGTGCAGAGGTCTGAACGCAATGTTGGTCACATGCCTGTCATGGACCAGCAGTTGAACAGAGAGTGCAGTCTGTTCACTGAGGATGGAAGATATGTCATTGTGGGTTCAGCAGCACACATTCCTGATGACCTCAGACCACATTTCTATCATATCCATAGCAATAATGAAGCTGTTACTCCTACTATTAGGTAGGTATTTTGTTAAAAAAATATGATTAAACAATCACCTATGATTTGTTACTTAAAATTAAAAAAAAATTTGTCTTGTTTTAGATCAGCTCTAGAAGATTATTCCCTCCATCTTGTGGACTTACATCAAGGCAAGTTATGTGACACGAAGCATTTTAGAATTGATAAAATTTACCTGTCACACAATCAAGGGATTTATTTGTACAAAGAAGTCCTAGCAGTTCTATCAGTACAGCATCAAACAATACACTTGTTCCAGATTGTTGAAGGCATGCTCATTGAAATAAGAAAAATAGGCAGATTTTGTTATGATGATGATCCGTTTATAGTGAACTCTGTTTTTGTGCCATTAACAAATGAAAGACCCTTTCATGAAGAAACTATTAATAGCCTAAAACACAGATTACTTGTTTTCCTGTTTAAAAGGGCTAAGACAATCAGTGATGAATCTAGAGACCCACTTGAATTAAGGAAGTTTTACAAATATTTTGATATGTTCAAAAGTCTTCGGATGTGGAAGATGCAGTTGTTAGATGAGGATCACCTTTTTATAAAGTATGCCAGCGAAGAAGTCGTAACATTGCGTGTGGCAGAACCTAACAGTCAGTCATCGTTTTTCGTCATTTACCAAATAAGTGAAAGCAAAATATTAGAAGTCTATGAGAACACATCAGAAGGTCTTTTACAGCTTTTTGAGAATTACTGTGACTGCTTCAGAAATGCCAGACTATGCGCCGACTCACAGTTCACTTGTTCACCATCTAATAATCTTTATGCTAGGCTTACACAACAAAGATTTAAACAAACTATAGTTAGAGCTATTTATGGAGGTCGGACCGAAGCCACGAAGAGAATTCTAGCGCAGCTTCCTATCAGCGCGCAGTCTTATAGTGGATCTCCATATTTAGATCTAGGACTATTCAGCTATGATGACAAATGGGTCTCTGTTATGGAGAGGCCAAAAGCGTATGGAGAATATCCCATAAGGTAACTTGTTATAACCCTGAGAGTATTCTATTTTATGTTTATTTTGTTCTAATCACAGTTGCTCATTAACTTTCGTCACCTTTCAGATTTTATGCACGTGACTCGGGATTACTAAAATTCAAGATTTACGCAGGCGTTTTAGGACAGTCAGTGCCAGCAAGTGCGCGAAGACTTGTCGCATTCACATTCCACCCAACCGACCCATTCGCCATCAGTGTACAGAGAACGAACTCGGAATATATTGTGAATTTCCATATTAGAAACGCGGTGTTTAGTTAATGCTTAAAATAATTATGTAATGTTAAGTGTAAAATGTATTAATAATATTATTATTTAATACTACTGTGTAGTATGTAATTAAAACTGCTTGTTCTCATTTTTATATTAAAAAATATGAATCGAGCTTATAAAGCTTAGCTGTTACCTACTTGGCACAAAGGATTTGCTATTTTGATACCAATAACGAAATATATCTATAAATATGGATTCTAAAGACATTTTTTATTTGTTACAATTTCCTAGTGATGATAAAACCAGACAAAAGTAAATCATGTTCCTTTTTTCATGATGTACTTCTCCTGTACTCATTCTTTGCGTGGTTGCAAGCAAAGAAGCAAAGGGTCCCGGCATGAGGAAGTCGAGAACAATAATGACTTTTTGACAAAGCCGAATCGGTTATTTCCTTTTCAAATGACCTTTAAACTGTCAAACACCAAGCGGTCACCGGTGACCGCGACCTATTGTTCTTTAATTGTATCTATAAAACCGGTACTCGACGAGTTAAATAAAGTATGAGTACTCACGGAATAAAAAAGTTTTATCTACCTTATTCCATGAGTAGACTGATCATCATCGACAACATTGGAGTCTATAGCTGGACCAAAGCGACTTTAAAAAATCATCAACATGTCAAACACAAAGTCAAGACAAAATGTCGACAGCAATATATTTATAAAAAAAATGGATATTTTATCATTAAAACAGATACATTAAAACCATTAGAGCAGTAAAATGTTATAGATATGAGTTGAAGATAGGAAGGACATAATTAGAACCTTAATCATGCAGTGCAACCAATCTTTCTGCGGAAACGGTTTCACCAATGGATTTTATAGTTCATGTAATAATAATACACGTTAGTAATTTGAAGTTATACATTACAAACCAATAATTAGATATACCCATTAATAAAGCATATGTTATAACAAATCTTTAACCGAAGTCTTGTATTTATTCCAATATCTCGAGATAAACACTGTAACACATCACGTCGCGGAGAACCTAACGGGTTATTACCCTGGCTCCGGCTCGACGTGCAGGAGAAGGAACGGGGTGGTTTTTAGTCAGTAAGAGTCCGACACTCCCTCCCGACACACCCAGGCGGGAGCAGTCATTCGATGATATTCCACCCTTAACAAAAAAATTGTACCACATCACCCTCCTTTGCCTTAGTCAAAGTAGGAGTCATCGCCAACACACCAACATTTCACTACAAAAAACACTTAGAACTTATTTAATTTTTTTTAACTAAATTTATTTAGAATTCCTCAATTATTTTATACCTAATCGAGTAAGTACAAGAGAATAACATAATTTGCAATGTTGGTAGCTACACCATGTACCCACAAACCCACACAGGCGTTATTTTTCAAAAATGTTAAGTTAGAGGTAAATAATACACAAACGAAAATTATCATTATAGCTCTACAATCCACATATCCAGAAATAGTTGGAGAAGGCGAAGTTACCTCAATTACACTACCTGATGGGACGATACAGTTCTTTTTCATGCCGACAGTAAAGTGGTGGACGCCTAATGTGCCTCAATGTTACCCCCCGTACTCCAATGTACGTGGTCCGACGATGTTCAATCCTAACTATAGCACCTCACCCTACAGTATTAATGCTGGAACATGGTTTATTAGAAGTATATCAAATCCGTAAGTAAAAGTAACAAAATAGTTGTTTTACAGACGGTATAATAATTGGTATTAGTCTGTATAATGCACGAGTTGATTTACTTTTTCACGCATGCACTAGTGTCGTATTTTATTAGTTTATTGACAGTGAGCAGAACTAACTGTTATTCCTTTCTAAGCGTGTGATTTCTTTCTAAGTATTTCTGCATTCTCCTTCATTCTACTTATAGTTATTTTTCTTAATAGAGTGCCTCTGGCTCAGCCTCAGAATCCATTTCTCCCGACATGTCAGCGAAACGATGTTCCAAGACTGCGGTTTGCTTCCGATTGCCATATGAACACTGGTAATAATGGATTTCAAGTCAAGGTATGCAGAAACAGGTAACTCGTTTTTTTTCAAGTAAAAAAATTAAAATAAATAGATATAACTAATATTTTGTTATAAAATTACAGTTTCACAACGACGGTTGCAGTTCGACTACCGACTTACATTACTTTTACCCCAACTTACGTAAAGAACCACCATGCAAAGGAACAGCCAATGTTCAGATGGACACAGTACCAGTAACCAGCACAGTGTGCCACTATGAAGTTATCTGCGGCAAGCCCTGCAACTGCAACACGGCTGCTAAACCAACGTGCCCAGAGAAAGTAGATGGCGTAACGCAACCTATGAGCTTAGAATCCGTATGCGATTGTAGAAACACTAAAAGTAATAACACTATCACGACTGACGATTGTTCCTGTGAAGACCTCAGTAAAAACCGTAATAAGCGCACAAAAGAAAAGAAATCGAAAAGAAAAAAGAAAAAGAAAGAGGATGTTGTTTGTGGTTGTGATGCCGCTGCCGGAGTACGCGCTGTCGATAAGTCGATGGCAACATATGACGAAAAATGTTGCTCCACTAGCGCGAACTCGGACGAAACAAATTCAGTACCAAGTAAAGAAAAAAGTAAATGCTTGGCCAAACTCACACAACTAACTTCGTCCAGCAAGTCGTGCAGCAAGGCATGCAGGCCTATACAGTTCCTGAATTCAGACGCGATACTGAAACGATGTGAAGTAAAGACAGCAGATATATGGCGTCCTATTACAACTTTCAGCAAGAGAGCAATGAAAGACAGTCCTTCAGTGGACTTCGAGAGTGAGATAGAATTAAATGCGGAATGTAACAGCAACTGCGGCACTTGCAGCGGGGACAGTACCAGTGATAAAGAATAAAAAACTCTTTTAGGTATTTATACTTTGTTATAATACAATTTATTCCTTAAAGTTAAAAATAACTATTTACATTGTTGAAAATAATAGTACAAGTAATAAACAAAAACAATTGAGATTTTAATACCTTTCTTACTATTTTTATATAAATTACAGATAAAAATACAACTGCAAACAATTCAGTCCTTACTACTCTTCAAAGACTAGTAAACAGTTGTACAATCTATTTAAAATTATATTGTTTCCATATAAAAAATTAATACATTTTAGTAAAAGGAAGACTTAAATGGAAACACCAAAAATCAAGTTCCTATGCTTTGGCAGAAATCAAATGTCTTGCACTTGAATCGCTTCATTACATACTTAATTCTCACAATTTTTCTGATAGAACATAAATATATGGTAAAAACAATTTAACACTTAAAACTAGTATTGCATAAGATTAAACAAAAGGACTTAATAAATGTGGTAGGTAGTTGAATTTAAAGTCTCATTCTTAAAATGCTCAATCTTACTTCCTAAGCTTGTGGAAACACAGAAAAAATATATTGGCGATTCTTTATAGTAATGCATCGCATGTACATTATTTTATTAGTATAATAGATCCTTTGTAACACGTTTAAGCAATTTTACGCAAGATTTTTATAAAGTTTACAATGTTAACATAGAATTTTTGCATTTCCTTGAGATTCATGGCTTACTTCAGACTACTTGTCATGTTTCACGCACTCTTTACAACTACCGTAAATTATATTAAACCATATAGATAGACGTGAACGTTTTCTTTGTATACAATCCAATTGTATAGGACTTTAGGGTACCTTGCTACTAACACTGAACACCCATTTTTAAAACGCACGTAATGTTTACAAATAGACTTTAGTTAAATAGGTGTTGCGTTTACCGACACAAGGTAATCTTATCTTTAGGAATAGCACACAACCTGTAACCTAGTTGTTTCATACAACTTCACCTTACTATGGCTAAACATATCTTAGTCTATAACACAAGTGTCAACCAATTGATACTAATTGAACTCTAAAAACACAAATGCACTGATTGTTTCAGACAATTATACTATCAGACTTTGATGCTAACGTTGTCGTAACGAATTAATAACTCACTCGAACAGCTGCTATTAACCTTTGACACAACACTGAATTTTATAATAGGTAATACTCCAAGTGTCCTCACATTACTTAACTTCTAGTAAATGAACTAACACACAAGTACGTCTAAAATTTTAATACTTGTTGTTGATAATTCGTGGAGTTTAGTTAGATTATATTTTGAGCGATTATTTTTATACCTCTACAACCAGTAACGTGTTTTGTTTTGTTTTGTATGCAATCAGTCCCCTTTGATTAATTAAAGTGCAAATACTATAATATGATACAAACAATACTTTGACTAGACAGTACCATAGTACCGACATAACCTTCGTGACCTCTATTGGGTGGAATCTTTACGAGAATATGTTAGCATACATTGAAGTTTAGGCCTTCAATAAAAATTTATTTAATAAAAGATCTTTTAGTGGAACTGTGGCGTATACATTGTGCTTTATTATTGTGTTCATTTTAAACTTATAACTAAATATACACTGTTATATAGCCAGGGTATAACATTTAAAACTTGATACAAAAAAGCTGAAGATGGCTATTACATCCCTGATTCCCTGACTAATCGTGGAGTGATTAATCTGTAACATAATGGTCGTCTGGTTTAATCTTAACGCGTACGTGGTAAGGAGAGTAATTTCCACTAAAAGGTCCTCCAACACCTAACACCTGACACACATTCTTGTACAACACATCAAAATTACACATTATCTAATCTACATTACAATTATACTTAGCGAGGGAGTGTCTTCAAACATATTAAAATAATTTAGTACTTACAGTATGTATTAATTAATGTATAAAATACATCTCGCCACCGTCACAGCACAATACCTTTTCCGTGTGTATATATTACACTAATTCATCAAGTCCCGTCCCCTGCAGCTCGCCGGTCTGCCCTGTGGAAAAAGTTACATTAACTGTTAGAAAAACCATCGAAAAAAATTGTTTTTTCGATTCTGGTGTGTATTGCTTTGTTTGTTTGAAAATAATTAAGTTAAAAACCCATAAAGAAGGAGCAATTGGAATAGGTTACTCGAAGACATGTTGTAAATTTTGCCAGAATACTGTAGTTGATTTTGTTTAATTGTTAGGACAAAAAATTATGTTCTTTGGATAAAAGAGTAGAGACTTTACCAGTTTTTGTGATATGTACACTACTATGTATAGTAGGATAAGGAAAGGCCAGTGTTTGCAATAAGACATAACAGGTAATATTACCAGTGCGCTATGCTAGGGCGCGGGGTGGGCCCGCTGAGCGTGGTGCGCGGCGTCCCGGATGGCGGCGAGGCGGTGGCGCGTGGCCGCGAACGTGGGCCGCTGCGCCGGGTCCGCGTGCCACGCCGCGCGCATGACCTCGTACGGCCCGCCCGGACACCCCTCCGGGGCTTCCATGCGGTAGCCGCGCTCGACGTGCCGGACCACCTCCGCCAGAGGCTGCAAACATAACATTTTTTATAAATTCATTTTGTCATACTTGTGATATCAATGATCTACCACTATCATAAGTAGTAAACAAGAAAATTGTAATGATGTTTCTTACTTTAGAACACAATGCAATTTTTCTATTTTAATGCTATATGTCATTAACTGGCATTTTCCTACTAAGTTGGAACAGTCCTAGTTACAACTATAAGGAAAAATATCTAATTCGACAAATAACTATTGTAATTACATAATAATTATTGTTTATTTATTGAATTTTATACTCACAATTCGTGGGTATGGTACTCTTCCAAATGAATATATCTCCCAAAGAAGAATGCCGAAACTCCACATGTCAGACTTGTTAGAGAATTTCTGTAACAAACAAATATACCATCCATTGATCCCATGATCACAAAATAATATCACATAACTATGCGGAAAACATCATTCTCAAAGCTGTTTGTTCTCTTCCCTCGCCCATCATTTGTCACTGAGGATCGTAACCCGCCAATGAGATGTTTCTACGAGTGTTTCGTTGCTTTTGTCATAACTGCTTCTCCGTGTACCTAATTTGCCACTGTTTAAGACCTCAAACTTTGAGTATTGTTCTTATAAATCATGTACAGTAGTGTGACTTACGTTGTACTTGAGGGCTTCGGGCGCGGTCCACTTGATGGGCAGCTTGGCCTGTAGTCTGGCGGCCTCGGCGGGATCGTCCATGGTGGCGTCGTTCCGCGCCAGGCCGAAGTCCGCCACCTTGGCCGTACCTTCCGCGGATATGAGTACGTTACGCGCCGCCAGGTCGCGATGTACTACGCGCTTGCCCTCTAGGTACTCCATACCGCAACACGCATCGCTGTAATAATATTTATAGTTTACTTTTATTTCTAAATGTGTTAGGGTGCTATGGTAAATAACAATTCTGAAAACTTTAACATTGATAAATTACTGCATGCTTTTATCACGACTGAACCGGCCTCACATAACAGCAGAAATGCTTCGCTTGCGTTGTCTCACAGTGTGAATGAGGTTGTGAAAACCCAAACTACTAAAATGTCCTACGGGTCGGCAACGCACTTCGTGTAACCCCTCTAGGGTTGCGGGTATTCATGAGTGGTGCTGATTGCTTACTATTAAGTAAACCGTCTGCTCGTTTACCATCCTATGCCATACAAAGAGATAGTATAACTTACTATGCGAAGTTGATCTGGTTGAGTTGCGTGACGTAGTGCCTGCCCCGGGAGCGGAGGTAGTCGAGCAATGAGCCCTGCGCGCAGTGCTCCGTGACGATGCACGTACTGCCGCTCGACGTGAACACCAGCCCCAGCAGTCGCACCAAGTTGTCGTGCGTTAGTGACCTATAAACAAATGTAGTAGTTATCAAGACCATGTAGATAGCTCATATTTTTTTATAATGACTATGTTTCTGTTCATTCTGGCAGCCTAGTTAGGATTATTCCTATTGCTTGGCCTAAATAAATCAAAAAGTCATATAGTTTAGGTAAGTGCCAGAGCTTCTATACGACATCTTCAATTTACTAACTTTATACTGTCCTTTATACGACCAATTACTACTACCTCACGTACATACAAAGGTGTATATGGTGTTAAATATCACATTACTAGGAAACTAAACCACCATACCAAAACGTATTTTCCCATGGTGAAATTATAAAATTTAGTTACAACTAAATCGATTCATACAAAATACTATTCGACGAATTTCCTATTGACTCGAAATACCAAAAAATGACATCCTGACAAATTACCTACACCATAAAACATCGTGTAAATGTACGATAGTCGTAGACTTACGGCGATGACTAATACACGTTTTAATTAACTGGTCGACCTTGTGGATAGATAATAATTAATTTTATGAGTCACGTTAGTTGACAAACATTAAATTAATAGCACTTTTTTATTATTTATCGAGTCGGCTCTTGCGACATCCGCGGGGAGAGTAAGTAGGGGAGGTTTTAAAAAGAATCTACTCTGTCGTCATTACACGACAAATACATGTATGTATTACACTACATAACTGTAATATAAACAAACTACAAACACATACATGTTTGTAATGAATGCTAGCCCGCGGTTAAATTGCGGTCGGTTCATATTTCTCGTAATACGAAGTCCAATATTTTTCCAATAAAAATAACGAGGTTGATGGAATTTTCGGAAACCTAAAGTAAAACATTTCTAGTTACATAAACATGACGTCTATTTTACCACACAATTCAGCTGACATAATTGTGTGGTAAAATAGACGTCATTGCCATGGTCAACAGATTTGGTTTTTGTGATGTCGGTCAATTGTGGGTACTTTGATAACCTTAATTATTGTATGTGTGCGGCAGCCAGTCTGCGAATATACGCCTTGTAGCTAAGTCGTTAGAATAGAATAAGAATAATTTATTTCAATGTACTCCACTTACAATATGTTTTTTTTTTTTTTTTTTTTAATTACTATATTAAAGTAAAATTATGCTAGACTATTAACTAGATAATAATAATACATTATTTTGCTTAAAACTATGAACAGAAAAATAATAGGGCTAATTTTAATATTTGTCGCGATTTGCTTGAACTAGGTTTATGCAACCTGTGTTTCAAGTCATCACTTTATTACAATTCATGTTAAATCTATACAGGTTTGTATTATCAACTACTTATATAAAATTTAGAAATTATAAAACAAATTAAACTATGTAACCTACTTACAGTAATTGATCTTAAAGAATAATTAACTACGTCAGTACATCTAAAAGTTTTTCTGTGTCATTATAATTTAATTTAAGCAAGTACTCCGTCATCATGTTACAACATTTCTTATGACTAAGGCTGTATACATTACAAGATTTATTTAGCTTATTGTACAAAAACGGTCCGAGAAACATATAAAATCTAGTGCAATAGGCATGTTTAGTTTGTCTAGTTTGGCAGACCAGATTATTCCTTTTCTTTACCAAAATTTCACGGTCATAGGTGAGTTCCGAATGTTGTAAAAGAACGATGTTTATATACTTAATTGCCGTACTGTAAGAACCTTACATGCCTTGTAAAGTTCGTGAGTAGGAAATCTAAAAGGGCGAAATGTCGCAACCTTGAGGATGGCCCTCTGAGCACGTTCTAGTGGAAGCATTATTGTTTAGCGGCACCTCCCCATGATGTTATGCAATATGTTAGTATTGATTGGCACAAAGCTAAATAGACTTGTTTAATTAATATATAGTAGCTACATTGCGTAAGTTTTTAAATACGTACATTAATTTACGGACTCTTGTGCATAATAAATCTATATGTTTGCGAAAATTTAAATTTGCGTCAAGCGTAACACCGAGGTATTTAATAAAATCAGTTTTGATAAGCGCTGGACAGGTGCATGCTGAGTCACCAAGAGTAGTACATTTGTGTGCATAAATATTTATATTAGTCATATGTAGGTTATGGTTTCTCATTGTAAACATGATATATTTTGTTTTATCTGCATTTAGTGTTAATAAATTTCTAGAAAGCCAAATAGTTACAGCAGTGAATCCTTTTTGAGCGTGTATGTAGAGCTCTTCCCGTGTATTAGCGGAGAATACAAGAGCTGTATCATCCGCGTAGGACATTAGAATGCCGTTTTTAATTGATAATTCACATAAATCATTTATATAAATTAGAAATAGTGTAGGTCCCAATATACTTCCTTGTGGTATTCCATAAGAACTATTTTTAACTTCTTTACTTATGTATTGGTCAATCTTTACAGACTGGTAACGGTCGGACAGATACTCAGAGAAAAGAAGTAACTGCTTACCTCTGATCCCAAGTGACTCGAGTTTCCGCAATAATATTGAGATAGAAATTGTGTCGAATGCCTTGGCGAGGTCCAAGAAGATACCCATAGTGTACATGCTATTGTCCAGATTAGAGGTAATATAGTTAGTAAGTCCATGCACCGCTTGGTTAGTTGATCTCTTTGGTCTAAAGCCAAACTGGTTGTCAGAAAGCAATTTTTTTTTCCTCAAGATATTTTACCAGTCTGTTATTAATAATTTTTTCTAATATCTTTGAGATACCAGTTAGTATTGAAATGGGTCTGTAGTTAGTGACATTGGTTTTGTCTCCCGATTTGAAAACTGGTGTAATAATTGATTTTTTAAGTGATTTTGGAAAAGTACTAGATGATAGACATAGCTGAAAAATGTATGTTAATGGACCCACAAATATGTATTTATATTTTTTTAGTATGTAATTAGGAATACCGTCCCAGCCGACTGCACAAACATCCTTTAGACCGGTTATTATTGTTAGTATTTCATCCTCGTCAGTGTCTAGCAACACGAAAGAATCACGTGTAGTTGATGGTGATGCAGCAGTCAAGTCGTAGGTAGATGAGTTTCTGTACTGTAGGGTATTTTCGGCCAAGTTTTTACCGACATTTGCAAAGTAGTTATTGATATTATTCAATGCTATAGAAGGGTCTGACTCAGTCGATAGTAGGTCAAGTGGAGGGTCAGTATTAATTGATCTAAAAGTATTTGAATTTATAAATTTCCAAATGAGTTTACTGTTATTGCCTGCCTTCTGTAACTCACTTTTATCGTATTGAATTTTCACCTTTTTTATTAAATTATTGCAAAAATTCCTATATCTTTTATATGTCATCAGCAGAATCTTATTTTCTGGTGCTAATTTTGATTTGCGATGAAGCATGTCTCTGTTACGAATACATCTAACCAGACCCGGTGTTATCCACGGCTTGATGTTGTAGTACTTCTGTGGAATTTTTACTGTGTATGTATTTTTATTTGTCGTTGTTTCATTACTATTCCGATATTTCTCAGTGGCGACGATCAGTATCGAATCACACGCGAAAAATAGTGTTAGCTTGCTAAAATGTCGATTGGAAAGATTGCGGAATTCAAAGTGCATAATGACGATTGGAGATTATACGTGGAACGCTTAGAACAATATTTCTTAGTGAACAAAATACCGGATAACTTACAAGTACCGACATTGATAACGGTGATGGGAGCTGAATCCTACGAACTTTTAGTTAATTTGTGTACGCCGGAGAAGCCTAAAAGCAAAACATTCACGCAGATCACGGAAATTATGGAAAAACACCTACAACCCAAACCTAGTGAATTGGCCGAACGTTATAAATTTCGACACAGAAAACAAAAAGAGGGTGAATCTATATCGGAATACACCGCGGTTTTGAAAAAAATGTCTAAGACCTGCGAATTCGGTTCCTCACTCGAAGAAAGTTTAAGAGATCAGTTAGTTTGTGGCATAACTAATGAAAATATACGACAGCGGTTATTTGCCGAAAGTAAGCTGGACTTCGGCAAGGCGTATAAGTTAGCAGTTAGTATGGAGGCGGCAGAGAAAGACGCGGCAGAGGTGGTTGGACATGGAGGGTCGGCCAGCGAGACGGCGGCGGCAGCATCAGTGACGTGTCAAGCGATGTTGACAACGGGGGCATCACGGCGGAGTGGCGCAGCGCCGGCTACACGCGGTGCGCGTGACGTCAGCGGAGTGGCGCGGGAGGCCACTGCGCAGACTGCGAGGCGGCGAGCGCCGCGCGCATCGGCAGCGCCCGCGCCCGCTCGGCTGGGTGAGCGTGCGCAGCAGCAGTGTCACGTGTGCGGTGCGAGTCACGACGCAGCCACGTGCAAGTTTGTGCGTTACGTGTGTAGGGTGTGTAATCGACCAGGACATCTGCGACGCGTGTGCCCGAATTTAACAGGACACTTCAACGTAGACATTGATCCAAGTAAGGATGATCATGGAAGTGAAAGTACGGAGAGTGACGAGGTAATTTTTATTGATGTTTGTAAATTATCTGCTATAGAATGTAAACCCATGTATCTAGAATTAAACGTTAGCGGTAAAAACATTAAAATGGAATGTGACACCGGTAGTGCTATCTCATGCATAAGCCATGAATGTTACATGAGATTATTTAATGATTTATGTCTTAAACCCTGCCAGCTAACACTTAGGTATTATACGGGGGAGTCAGTCAAACCACTAGGAGTTATAACGCCAACAGTAAGGTACAAAGATACATGCAAGACGTTGGAATTATTTGTTGTGGAGAATGGGAAAACCATTCTTTTAGGACGACAATGGATGGCCGAATTAAAAATACAATTACCTATTGTAAATTACGAGTGTAATAATGTGACTATGTTCAGAGATGACGTTTTCGACCTGTCTGCTTTTAGTTCCAAATATTGTGAGGTGTTCGCGGACGGCTGGGCCGGTTCACCGGTGGCAAGGTGAGCGTTCACGTGCGGCCGGGCGCGCGGCCCGTGTTCATGCGCGCGCGCCCTTTGGCATACGCGCTGCGTGAACCGGTGGAGCGCGCGCTGACCCAGCTGCAGCTCGACGGCATTCTCTCGCCGGTGGAGCGCTCGGACTGGGCGACTCCGATCGTACCGGTCGTCAAGAAGGACGGTAACATTAGGATTTGTGCTGATTACAAATTAACTATCAATAGAGTCATAGAAGTTGACCGATATCCGCTGCCTAGGGTAGAGGAGCTGCTGCTTCAGTTGAGGGGTGGTGAACATTTTAGTAAAATTGATTTATCACAGGCCTACGCACAATTTGAACTAGATGACACTAAGAAATATACCGTGATAAATACCCATAAGGGTTTATTTATGTATAACAGGCTAGTGTATGGCCTATCGTCGAGTCCGGGTATTTTTCAAAGACGATTAGAGCAGCTGTTTAAAGATATACCTCAAGTAGGTGTTTTCTTGGATGACATCATAATCACAGGGGCTTCTAAGGAAGCTCACTTGCGAAATTTATGCCAGGTGTTTTGATCGATTAAAAAAGTACGGCTTGAGGGTAAAGAAACAAAAGTGTGTATTCTTTGCGGAGTCAGTTAGTTATTTAGGGCACACCATTAGTAAAAATGGTGTTCACACGTGTCCCGATAAGGTTAAAGCCATAATCAAAACACCCGCGCCTACTAATGTCAGCGAGCTCAGAGCATTCATTGAATGGTTATGTACTACGGCAAGTTCGTGAAGAATGTTAGTACAGTTCTAGCACCGCTATATAACTTGCTTAGAGTGGGTGTTCAGTTCAGTTGGAGTAAAGAGTGTCAAGATGCGTTTACCAAGGTTAAAAATTTATTAGCAAGTAGTGACGTTTTAATGCACTATACACCGGAGCTGCCTGTAATTTTGACGACTGATGCAAGCAGCGTGGGTATAGGCGCGGTGATATCGCACGCGAGCGCGCACGGCGAGCGGCCGGTGGCGTACGCGTCGCGCTCGCTGACGCAAGCCGAGCGCGGTTACTCACAAATAGACAGAGAGGCGCTCGCTATTGTTTTTGGGATAAGAAAATTTCATCAGTACTTGTATGGGCGCAAGTTTATATTGCGAACGGATCATAAGCCTTTAACTTACATTTTTGGAAATAAAGCAGGGATCCCGGTAATGGCCGCATCCAGACTACAACGCTGGGCGGTGTTATTGGCAGGTTACTCCTATGACATTGAGTATGTGTCATCAAGTAAGAACTGTGCGGATGCGTTGTCACGATTGCCATGTACAGAAGTTAATAATTTAGGAGTACGGAACGATAACACTTACGTTAATTTTGTAGAAGATTTTTTACCTATTACCAGCAAAGATGTTAAAGAAGCTACAGCTCGTGATAAGGTCCTAAGTAGAATTTTAACGTATACCCAATCTGGTTGGCCTACAACTTGTTCAGATGAATTGATTCAACCCTATTTTAGAAGACGTAATGAACTATACACGGAATGCGGGTGCTTAATGTGGGGTTACCGTATGGTCGTACCACTTTCATTACAATATAAAGTTTTAAAACAACTTCACAGTAGTCACATGGGGATAGTGAAGACAAAGAGTCTAGCTCGTAGCTACGTGTGGTGGCCTAACATAGATGCTGCAGTGGAGGAGATGTGCAAGCAGTGTGAGACTTGTGCGGCGGAGGCGGACGCTCCCCACCGGGCTCCAATACAGCCGTGGCCTTACCACACGCGTCCCTGGACGAGGCTACACATTGATTTTCTAGTCCGTACAAAGGTTTAACGTTTTTTTTAATTGATTCTTCTTCAAAGTGGATAGAAGTTTTGAGATGAAAGGTACTAACGCATCTAAGGTTATAAAAGTATTAAGATCTACATTCGCCAGATTCGGCCTACCAGAAGAATTAGTTTCGGATCAAGGCCCACCATTTACCAGTAATGAATTTAAAAATTTTCTTAAGAATAATGGTATAAAACAGTATTTTTCACCGGCTTACCACCCATCCTCAAACGGGGCAGCAGAGAACGCAGTAAAGTTATGTAAACGAGCTATCAAGAAGGCTTTTAGAGACCAACAGATATTGATACGGCTTTACAAACTTTTCTTTTAGCTTACCGCAATACAGCGCACGGTACCACCGGGGAAACCCCAGCCATGCTTTTACAGAGACGGACGTTACGGTCGAGACTAGATCTGTTGCGTAGTGATCGTGTCATTGAAAACAGAGTACGAGAAGCACAGGCGCGTCAAGTAGAATACGCGGGTGGAACTCCTCGTAAATTACAGAGGGGGACTCAATTTGGGCACGGGAGTACGGCTCTGGTGATGATAAATGGGTAAAAGGCACTGTACGCGGGGTGGACAGTTTACGTAGGTATTCAGTAGTGGCGGATAGCGGTCAACTTACAAAAGACACATTGATCAAATGCGTCGTAGATCCCGATTTTCCGATGTTACCTGTCCGGGAGGAGATGATGAGAGTCAGCGGGGTGAAGGGAATGTTGTCGAGCCTTTAAGCAAGGGTTCAGAGGAAGTAACTCTGCCAGAAACAGAGACTGTAAATACTAACCAGGGCGAACAAGAAGGTGTTCCTTCTGAACACTCCTCACCTAAACTACCATCGCCATCTGTGCCACCGGTGAGTCGTTATTCCAGGCGGACACGGAAACCGGTAGATAGATTTAGAGTAGAATAAGTTAGTTCATAAGAATGCCTAGTTAAGTTAGCCTAAGAATACTTAGTTAAGTTATCGACTCTTGTAAATTAGTTAATAAGAGATTTAATTCTAGATTAGCGGTGGAGGTGTGATGTCGGTCAATTGTGGGTACTTTGATAACCTTAATTATTGTATGTGTGCGGCAGCCAGTCTGCGAATATACGCCTTGTAGCTAAGTCGTTGTTTCATTACTATTCCGATATTTCTCAGTTTTCAATCGAAACTATCATCCTTAGTAGATTATGGACACCCAGATAACAGGCCAGTCTCCATGTAAAATACCAACAGTTTAGTATTCTATAATTTGGTACCGAAAACTAGTCGAGAACGGCCAAGAGAAAGTAGTACATAAAATATATATTATTTACTTACGCCATAACGCTTGCTTCCGCGCGGAACTTGCTGGCAGCTTCTCTATCTTTAAGGATCTTCACAGCGACCTTCTGGGAACCGTTCAGTATGCCCAGCATCACGTCTCCGAATTCTCCCTTGCCAATGTTCTCACGGATCTCAAGGTCACGCTCATCTATTTTCCAGCCTGGTAGTAAATAAATAAGTAATAGTAAAAACATTTTCAATTACAGTACGTAATATTTATGTTACTACTGAATCGTAAATAATATTTAAAAGGGAAAGTGACTTTGCGAACGTTAACTAGAGATAGTATTTTTATAGCCATAGTTAATTGCATTTGAAAACCTATTAAACTTGTTTTTTTCCACGGAAATTGCATGTAGATATAAAACTGATAATTATTATTAACTAGGTTTTCGCTTGAGGCTTCACGCGCGTGAAATCAAAAAGATTTCTCACGAGTAAGTCCCATTCTAAAGGGTGTTCCTTTCCGTTGTGGCAAAATAGGAAAAGTAGGCTTTCCAAAATTTTTTGAAACCCTTTAGTTTCAAAGTCTATTCAATTCATACAAATCATCACATTATTCCTTTTTCTAGTATAAATGATACTAACGTGCATCGACGAAGTTCTGCGGCTGTAACGAGCTGTCCGTCTGGTCGGAGGAAGCCATCTGCGTGGAGTACGTGTGCTGGAAGTGTCCCGAGCTCAGTGCGCTGGACACGCTCGGCGTCGGAGGGTAGGGCGGCGGTTGCTGCGGAAACATTCAGAACTAAGAGCTGTCTAAAGGACAACAGTTTGGACAAAGACAGGGCAGTAAAGCTCTTTAATATATCTGAACCTTTTAAACTGTTATCTTAAACTCGCCAAACGTTATATAGTGACGCTAAAATGTTGTATTGATTTACCTGCGGGTGAGGCGGGTAGGACGGCTGCAGCACTCCGTTGTTGTTGGCGCCATTGGGCAAGGCCTTCGGCAAGCACCGCACCAGCTTAGTGCACAGACCGTCAGCGTCTTGTAAGTAGTGCTGGGTGGAGTAACACAAACATTTGTTATTGCCTTTATTTCGATATAAGTTCTATTTTGTACCTGGTGGTAAGCAATGATGAAGTAAAGGCCAATGATGGAGCACACTTGCTTACAAGTTACCTATTCATACGGAACTTCTAGACAAACGCTATTAGTAATTTAGTACGATATTATTTCGCGTTTTTACTTTGATCGGCGATAAAACAGTACTTATTGGAATTTAAATAACTTAACTAACTTTTATAAATGTTTTTATTAATTCTTTCGGTAAATTGATCAATATTGAACTAATTCTTCCATATAGTGTTAAACGTATACTTACATGGATTAAATCCGTCATATTATCGAAAAACTCTTCGTCGTCTATAGTTAGACGTTGGTTTTGATTATCAGGAGCTGTTGCCCATTTTACTCTGAAAACAAAAATAAAACGTTTATTTGAAGTTGTTTACGACATATTAAAGTCTTTCATACAATTACTCAAATGGTTAGAAAACATTAAAACATATTTTTGCACAAAGAAAAAATAACATTTATGGTCGTTAACAATAATAAAGAATACATTATTATGTACTATTGACGTGAACGGTCGTTTCAAGAACATTATTGTTTAATTCTGTAAGACATGTGTTTACTGAAAGAACTGAGTAACATATTGTGATACAAACCTTTTCAATGTAGGTATTATCAATACTTTACAATACTTTAACTGGCCATTATCACTTTTGTTTGAAATATGAAAACTTGAATGACAATACTGTGAACAATTTATATTTGTTTGCAAGAGGAAGAAAAGTCGTTGAAATAGCAGCAGATAATTAAACAAGTAATTACTGCAATGTGGTCATACATAACATAAAATCACGCCTTTTGTCCCCGAAGGGGTAGACAGAGGTGCACATTATGTCGCTTAATGCCACTGAACAATGTAAAAACCCACATTTCACTATTTATGTTATGTGTTCCATGTAATAGGGGTGGGCCTGTTGCCATATAGCCAGACTCCGTGCTACTACTGAGAATTTTTTAGTAATATTAATAATGGTATAATACACTATTATTTATGGGACTTTTAATCTGAGGGCTTAGTACGATGACCGCGTTCGGTGTTCTGAGGCCTTAGTACGAGTTTATTTTACGTTTAAAGTAATCGTAACGAGTACGCGTTCGGCGCTGTGATTGGTTGCTTCATTGGCGCCGGCCAATCAGAGTGCCAAATGCGTACTCGTTTCGAATACTTTAAACGTAAATCAAACTTGTACTAAGGCCTCTGATTGATTGGTTCGTTGGAGTAGGCCAATCAGTGCACCGAATGCGGTCTCGTTTCTATTTCGTTAACGGTAAAGGAATCTCGTTCTTAGCTATCGTGGACATCCCTTTCCGTTGTTTCTTTTGACTCACACATCTTACTGGATAATATAAATGCCTATTAGAATACCAACACTTGTTTATTACTAGAGCCTGTCTGCATTCACGTTCTGTCTTAACGTGAAAACGTAGCCATTCATACTTGTATTACTTGTTTATTCGACACGAATCACAATGGCGAAAGTACACGATATTCTGTAGTTTTGTATCCGTAAACAATAGTAAACACAGTCGTTTAAGCGTCCGATTGAATTCATTCCATTCATGTACTATTCTCCAGTATTTTAATGGAACTCCTTGTGAAGTGAAGATATCTTACCGATAATGCTCGACTCGGCCCCGAAACCGCACGCAGAGCGTGTGGTCGCCTGGGAAATTGGTGCTCTCTCGCACGAGGAACACACCGTCCGGAGACCCCGACAGTAAGGCCTCCGCGCGCTCGCGAGATATCGCGCCGTGGTGCCATCTGTGGACAAATATAAAAGTAAAAAAAAATTAACATTACAATTTTATTTTATTTACAACAGAACTCATACATACATTATGCATTTGAAATCTTATAACATTTTGTCGTGTGAGCCTTTTAATTCTGATAGAAGTATAAAAAAATCTCTTTAAATATATAATATTTTTTGATAGTATTGTGGTAAGTAAAGCTTAATTTAATCATAGAATTGTAGATCAAAATGTGAAAACGACTCTTATTTCATTGCAATAAGGTCTGATTTCGAATTTAATATTTTGTTTGTGTTTCATCAAAGGTTTTCCTGTTAAATATACCACAACGCAGTAGAGACAACAAGAGTCCTTATACAATATAACTATTACAATTAGGTTTCATCAATCTACCCGTTTTCTTTGAAAACTAAAACAATAGTTATCAGTATAACAAAATTGAGTATAATGCAATAAAAAGACTAGGACATTTATAATCATGTTAGCCGCTTGATATAATTGATAACAATAATAACAATAGATACAGGTGATATGAAAACCTATACTAATCTGTTCGATGGAAACGTAGGACGGCTTATGAGCACAGTCCCTTAAGAAGATAAAATGATTAACTTTATCAAGGGCAATAATTGCTTTAATTCTATAATGTGTAAAGTGTGGGAGAGCCATGCTTCGGCACGAATGGGCCGGCTCGACCGCAGTGATACCACGGCCACACAGAAAACCGACGTGAAGCAACGCTTGCGTTCTGTTTCGTCGTGTGAGGGAGGTTACCGGAGGCCCAATTACCCTCCCCTGCCCCAATCTCCCTAATTCCTGAATCCCCAACGATCCTCAAACTCCTAATATATATAATAAAAGGTCGGTAACGCACTTGTAACGCCTATGATGTTCCAGGTGTCCATGGGCGACGCCGATTGCTTACCATCAGGTGATCCGTATGCTCGTTTACCGGCTTACGCCATAAAAAAATATATTGTCTGATACTTGGATTCATTCAATTAAATAACAACACTGTGTCAATTTTACGAAGAGATAAAGATATGTTGTTTCTTTATTCTTTGGAATGTAATGAACATGAGGTTGTACATAGGTGAGTTTAAATCTTGTTTAACTCTTATATTTTCATTTCACATCACATCAACAGCTTATAAGTGGCCACTGCTGACCAAATGCCTCTTCTGGCACGAAGAAGTTTGGCTATTAATTTCGTAATTGTTTTAAAGCAATAGGCTAACATCCTGAGGTATAAAGCTAATTGTCTGATGTTGTGTACAGCATACTATCCTCATATTCCGAGTAATCAAATGAAAGTCAGTCCAATAGATGTTCAACTGGAAAACGGAACGCTAGATAACAAACATGACCACTGCTACACGTCCACAAAAGCAAACCATTTACTAGTAAGCCTAACCTACCGTTAAGCATTGCATTATCAGTATAATTAACACTAGTTAGTACTAGACTAGACATAGTAGTCTGAATAAAAATTCAACAGGATATTTACTCTACATCCTCGTAAGCAAAAACCGGTGGTATGAACAACAGAACTTTGTGTGGTTTGTTGAAGCACTGGGTTATGTCACACGCACACTCCATACTTGTGTGTTTCAGACTGACGACTGTACGTCTATTATCATTCAGATAAGTCCTGATAACACTAATGTTATCACCTATAAGCGGTGTTTTAATAAATTAGTGTTTTCTTAACAAAACCATGTGTGTTTTGATGTTTGTGTTGATTGAATTAAAAGGCCTTATTTCTGTGAATATGACTGTTGAAAATGTAATGTCTATCTATTAATTAATCAGTTAAATAACGAGTAGAATAAATAGAATAACACTGTTTTTGCGTCAACCCGGGATTCGAACCCAACACCTACGCAGCCGGTGGCGAATGAGTCTAACGTGCTAATAGGGTCCACAGACAGAGCTGCGTGCGCGGGTATCACGGCAGAGGGCGCGCTGGGCCGTACCGCAGACGTACCAGTAGTAGCGCGAGTCGCGGAATGCTGGTCATGAATATGAGCCTCTAGCACGGTTTGAAACTAGTCGAGTTTCTCGTCAAACAACTACATGAGTAAGCCGAAAAACATAATTAATTCAGTTGAATAGCTTTTAACATTATATAGTTTTAATGAAAAATAGATTAGTTGTGTGATTATTGCTACAAATGCGAATTATACTCAAGTTTTTAGATAATTAGATATAACTTTTACTTGACTAAACTGTAACAAATATCTTTCTGTACATAGGTCTGTTAAGTCACAAACACGGAACATGTAGCACTTAGCTACGTGCCGCACCGTTAGTAGGACATACCAAGCGCAGATATCACATAAATTTCATAAAATTTAGAACAGACACAATATTATCTTCTTACATTAATAATTATCTCGTACATAGAATACAAAGTGTTAATTGTTTAAGCAGCTTCCTAAGACCATCACGTACAATATAAACGCACGCCTTTGTCGCATGGGGGTAACCATAGAGACCCATTTAGTATGCTCCTTCCATCACATTCTCATGCATCTGATCATACTAGCACCTAATTAATTAGTAAATACATACATTTACTTAGTACGTATGTGACATAGGTACAAAATACAGATGTGGGCAAGATACATACGGCCACTGAGTCATGTTGATGAGCCTGTTGCCGGCCGGTGGAGGATTCACGCACGTCGAGTTCACCAACACGTCGCTCGGCCCCTTCGACACAGCTGTTGGATAAATATGGATTTTTATTTATTTATTTATTTATGTACACACATACAACATAAAGGACAACACATACATAAAATTAAAGTACAAAGGTACCACATATTCCTATTGGAATTTTTTATATAGTCTTCTTGGATTAATGACTTCAATTACTAAACTGGATCTAGAACAGACATTGTCAAAGTGTCAATAGACGTCCTGTACAGTATCATGTTACCATTTGTTAAGATTTGTTGATAAAATTAAGGTGGCTTAGTAGTGGACGTCTTTATTTTTAATTTCTTTTTATCTGTTTCTCTCTTCTTGGCATGGTTGATCAATTACATCACTACTGCCATTTTTTGGAATCCCCCCCTTTTTGTTTGCTTTATCTGATAAAGAGTTTCAGGATCATACTTGAGACAGAAATCCCACATATCAATTAAAAGATAACCGAGAAAACATTGTCTATACACAACGCAATTTGCTTTAAAAATGTGATTTAAGCTAATGTATTTCACGATAAATGTGTTCAAGCTAAAATTGCTTATTCATCTCTTTTGTATTAGCCTTTTCCCGTGTTGGTGCCAAGGCAAGGCTCGCTCGGCTTTATAAATAATACTGCAATGTAATATTTGCAAGTCACGAATGCCTGTATTCCTGTAGCGTCATCCTCTGACACTGGCTCATTTCGCTCCTTTGTACTGATATGACACAAGTTGAGGTTTCGCTAACATAATACTGCTGCTAATTTGTTCGAAATGCCAGGGTGTACTGACGGCAATGGTGAAGTTAAATCATTTATTCCAATTAGACTGAAAAGATCTCATTGTAAGTCATCTTAAAACAGGTCTTTTAGTCTTTTAGTAGAGCTATTTAATCGTGATCGTGCCAATGTAGATTCCTCAGGATGGAATTGTAGACTTTGATATTCTCTCTTTCCATGATCCTCACTTTCTTTAGTCCTTAGACGGCATGGAAGCTACATAACGAAAGGTTTCGTAACAGCTAACTAGCAGACTGTGTGTCGATTGTAATTTAAAGAACTACTGCGAATAACGAGGGCCGAACGTGATTTGCATGTCTGAATACATTACATTAGAAAACGTGTATGTACATACTGTGTTACTGTATATTTACGCACATGCGGAATTCACATTAACCGTATGAAAGTTATACTACTGTACTTGTTACTCTGATACTATTAATATCAGCGAGATTTATTGGTAACTGTCATGACGTCACTCGCTAATTTAGCTTTTTATACTTGTGAAACTCAGTGAAATCGCAGTTGAATGTATAAACTCAAGGTGCATGACAGAACATATGAATGTAATTTCGTATAAATTACTAATTCAAGTTGAGATTAAAATTTTGGTGGATAAGCAGTTGCGTTCAGTAAAACTAGGTCATGTGTTTCACTGAAACTGTATCTTAGTGTCTTCATTTTACTTACGACTAATTTGGGGATTGCATACAGCCTGTAAAGTTCATCATAAAGGCGTTATTAACGAACTGTTTCGTCAGAAGTTAAAGTGATTTACCAGATGTCGTCTGCGAGGTGTGCATGGCGGAGGGCGCAGGCCCGGGCGGCGCCGGCGTCCGTACCGACGACGACATCACAATCTGTTGACAACGACATCTTATTACCTATTTTACACAATTCTATTGAATATAAAACTATACTATACGCAGGTTAACTCAACTGTCGTCATCTATTGTTTAAAAACAATCACTACCCATCTATCGAAGGTAAGTTATAAATCATTGAAAAACTTGGATTACAAAAACACTATTGTAGTGCAGACGTGGGACGATAATGACGCCATCATAAGTCAACGAAACCTACAACCTACAGGAGAAAATTAAATATCATTATTAGCAGGGCTTGGGACTAGAGGCGGTCGATACGACGTGGAATGTATCAATTGGTTTGACACACATTAATAATTATGTAACTAGGTGAAGTTCAACTAAAAACTGGGACAATAGTATTTAGGTCACTTATCACTATTAATCCCATTAGATAATATTACCAGTCAACACTTCGATATTCATTTAACCTTAGTGGGTATCTAGTACAAACAGTGCAAGCCTAGCAGCTAACGAAGAATACATTATACGAGCTGTAGAATGCAACGCACGTAGTCCAAATAGCTACATTTGCAAGTATGTGCAGCAAAAATAAATTGCACTCACGTTATGTGGAATGGAATTCTGCAATGCGGTGGGCGAGAGAGGCGCGTGTGGCCCATTACTACCGCTCACACTGCCTCCACACTGAAACAAAGTTTTCAACTATCGTAAAAATAACCCACGTGTATTGTGGAAATGCCAATTCTAGATCCAAACCCACGCCATAGCGCCACCGCCACATCTGCCTTTAAAGAATAAATATTTACGTTTGATCCGGCGCGGTGTCTTACTTTCTAAGCAACCGTGAGAATTTCCACCGCAAACAATACTAGTTGTGACAAAGGGTTTCAATGAATATGAACTCTACTTTCTGTCGCCGGTAAAGCGGAGTTTAGCGCAACATAAATATAGCTAACACTGAGACAATAACCTACAAATCATTTTAAAAAACTTGTCACATGTCAGTGGAATCATGGCACGCCGATGGGAACTCGTCTCGCGCTTAGCCTTGTGAATAGATCAATGTGGTCTCACAAAGGGTCATAAATTATGTGACATCGTTGTGATAACTATGCCACTGTGCTTCTCGTTCTCAATGCTGTGTATAACGAACAACGAGTACAATGAGTCTCACCTATCGACATTATGGAGTATTCCACGCCGATCTCATGAGAAAATCTATTAAGGGATTATAATCTACTTTCTATCCTACTTTATGTTGATGTTCATTTAGATTGCATCTCCGAGCAACACCGTAAATATCTTCATATTCCTTTAATCATTACGATTTGTTTATAATATACGCACTGGTAGTTGGTGAGGGGGCTGAGTGCGCTTGAGCCGGGCTGGTGCGGTGGGAGCGGGTGCAGCTGATGCCGAGTACCAGCCGCAGGGACCCACACCCTGGGAGCCCGCGTGCACTCCGTGCTGTAACAACACGGCACACATACAATATCGCATACGGGTTTCTTGACATAGTCAAATAGTTAAGCAATTCCGAATATTTTTACGAATAGTTTAAACGCGCAGCAGAGAATATTTTCAATATTGCAATATAAATTTACACGATCGCGTGGAGGTCATATTCTCAATTTATATCTGCAAAAATCCTTGCAATAATAAAATGTGAAATCTGGACTTCAAAGTACGCTTACTCATTCCTCGTAAAACGTAGATAGTTTACACAGAAGCCCGAATTAAAATAAACTTGCTACTGTTGAATTTGAGATCGTGACAGGCGAGGTTGACCGCAAATCGACCTTTCATGAAGACGACTCATGAATATAAAATATCGTAAAAGTGTTCCAACGTTTACCGCAGTTAAATCTAATCATAATAGGGACGCCGATTAACTCGTTCGATACTGACGTCGATAAACTGTATCCAAGTGTTGTAATACAAACCGTAATTGTTTAGCAATATAACGAATTGGAAGCACTTGGATAAACGATAATGTTCCCCGTAACGATCCATTGAAACGCAAAACCTTGGACGTACGCCAACTGTTGATGCAGATACGTTAAATACAATTTTTCATGCAAATTTTCATTTCACACACTACTTTTAATATGCATGAAATATATGCTTATTACATTGAAAACTAAGAGCCGGAGAAAATTTGTAGAGGTAATACTATTTCAAGAAATACGCATTAAAGAAAGTCGGGCACAGCCGTGCATGCGGGCGTGCATGTATCGAGGACGAATGTTGCTTACAGAGTGGTTGATGTATCGACAAAGTATGTGGTACAGACGTGCTATTCTATAACTTTAGCTTGCACATGTTACTGAAAATCGAGGATGATGATGTAACAATGAAATCCGTTCACGCTGCGAAAGTGCGTATGCTCCTGGCAAACGGTTGCAACATTGCTTCATTCATTTAATAACAGATTGTTTTGGTAGTTTGAAGAAAATGTTATTTTGCATCTAAAATGAAACCATAACAATTTGGATTTATGTACGTTAATTTGAACACAGCAGAGAAACATCTAGATGCTCTTCTGAAATGTTTTGCTCATTTCGGTTTTTGTGTTCAAGCATTCAGTTTATCATGATAAGTAGGTGCAAAGGTTTACCTGTGCCAATGGCGGGTGCGCCTGATGACGGTGCACGTCAGAATTCATGTCGCGCTCCTCCTACCACGACAGATTACCCCTCATCATCTGTAGACAAAAAAAAACAAATCATTACACATCAGCATTTTCACAAGTTATGAAATCTAAAATTAGCGGTTCATATTTCACATATCGTATTTGTTTAGTAGGATTTTTTTTTTCGTAATATTTGCAGTAGGTAAACATAATATTGCATATTCTTGTATTTATTTAATAATGAAATAATGAAAGTCAGCTGCAACAATTTTGCTAACGATATAATTTTGTTCAGAATAGCAATGAAACAGTTCTAGGCAATTAGAAAGAATTTACCAAATCGTACAATAACAACAATAACATTGAATGATAAATTATCTAGTAATAATGTCAACCAAGTCAATTGCAGTGAATTTATTCTTCTAATAAGCAATAAATAATATATTGAACCGTCGAAAACATTTTCGTTCCTAGCATTTTTATTTTGCACAACTTCCGATTTGCGTCATAACTTTCACGAAAACAAAGACATTAAATACAATATATTACTCTTTGTATTAACAATTGTTATACGAAGAGGCTTTGTCTCAAATATTAATATTTATTAATCATTCATCAAAGCTACATCTGCCTGAGATAATAATGTTTAAGTAGTTTTAAGTATTCATTAAAGAAGATCATTCTACAAAACTGAGGCTTATAAAAACTTATAAGTGTTCTTCATTCATAAACCTTGTAAATCAATCTCAGAAATTGCTGTACTTGTATGGTTGTTAAGAACTTAAGGAGATTTGGAGACTGATGAATAGTAGTATCATGTTAATCTAGGAAAAGGCGACGTTTTATAAATATGATTAAGTCGCAGTTTGAGTTTATTCATGTATAACGATGTTATTCTTCATATTGGACACACTAGGATTTTCGCCTACTTACCTTATTAAGTTACTAGCCAAGGATATGACATACGGCCTGCAGAATATTTGAACTTTGCCGGTTAGGCTATTCTCATATCGTCTTTAAATTATAATAAAACACTTTAAACACGATAGAATTTCCAAATACTTTTTATCTTCTTCGTATAAAATTAATTCATAATTCGAAAGAATTTTACATAACATTTGCACATTGTAGTAATTGGTTATCGAATACGATAATACTGTTAATAATGATGTAATTTATTACACTACAAATTACATTGTCATCATTAACTGTCGTTTTTGCTGTTTGGTTGACAAGAGAGCAGTATATGTTTGAACTAGCTTCTGCCAACGGCTCCGGATGCGGTCCCGTGGAATAAAAAGTAGCCTATGTTTTAATCTAGACAATAATCTACCCTTGTTCCAAATTTCATCCTGATACCTTCAGCGGTTTTGAAGTGAAAGTGTAACAGACAAAGAAACAAACAAACTTTCGCATTTATAATAATATAAGTAGGATATTGTATAACCCTTTAAAAAGTCATGTAAGTATGTAGATTAGATAGAGCTTGTATACTAGAACAAATAGAGCGCTAATTGCAGAAGGTACAAGGCGTGGGTAGGGAGTGGTGGTGATTCACTCTCGTCCTCCCAGCGATGATGTGGAACAAACTCAACAAACGATCATAGCACGGCACAACCCAGCCAAGCGTGTCGTATCGTGACTGGCTACTGTACACGTATGAGCCAACTTATGTAACTACAGGTGGAAATGCAGATGACAGCATAACCATTAACGCGTAACGTTTGAAGAACTGTTTGTTGTGTCTCTGCACGCCAATGCATGATATTGTTGAAAGAAAACTTTACTATCTGCGCCTTTCTTCCTAGTTGGGCAATAAAAGGCAGTATGTACTGTTTGAGTGTATAGTGTCTCCCCTCAATGAATGTAACCCACTTACCAGTTTTCATCGCTATAATTGAGAACGGAATTAGTAGCCGGGAGAAGCAATCTAGTGCACCGCGCGGAGCGTGTCGGCACTTTACATCGTAAGAACTAGTCAATAGTTAACCACTATGACCGGCTACAGAACGGGAAAGCCTAGAATTTTCTCGCTACTTTTCTTCAGCATAATTGCAAACTAATTTTTTACACTACGATGACTTAGTGGAATTCATAATCTGAATGTGCGATTACATCAAATTTGAGCAAAAATTTGATTTATCTCGACAACGTTCATCATTCTGATCTTGTGAATTATATTGCTTCTAGTCCAATGAATTTCACTTCAATAATATAGATTACATTTTCTCTGACGTGCGAGTTTCTCGCAATCATTCGGATGGAGCACTAGGTACATAGGTGTATTGATTTTCACCTCGTTGACCTAACTCGAAATCTGGTATTAGTTGCCATACGAAGTTGTAATGTACAAGTGACGCAATCCGCACTTTTTTCGTCCCATGCAAGCGTGACCGTCCGTCGCACCGTGTACGCTACATGCATATTTCTCTATAAAAACAATTTTGTTTTTATCACGCGATAATTTTCCACCTACAAGCGTACCTAGACAAAAATATCTAGCGAATACGCCAATGACTACTTGGCAGTTGTAAATATTGTATTTGTAACTGCAATTATTTACAGTCTGCGATAGACTGAGCATTTAAATTTTAGATCATGGAACCAAACTCAGAATGGAATCCACAAATACATTGGACTGAACAACGTTAAACAAATTACCAATGAATTATTTACGATGACTCCGTATTAACACATCTGAGCACATAACAACGAAGGTCATATCTAGCAGCCATAGTTTAATTTATTTAAATTATCCTCACACACTGTTTTCAACTACACATAAAAGACGACTAAATGTTCATCAACAGGAAAATTATAATTCTGGCCAAGTTAACCTCATGCAATGTATCAATATCGTCAATTTTATATGACGTGTTAAAATAAATAATACACATAATGCATAGTATTCCTTTCAAGCCCATTTTTTACTTTGGATATTACATTTTACTTGGAAATTATTACATAGTTCATTGGAAGTGTAAAGGACACTGATATGGTATTTCGAAAAGGGAAAACTTTAATTCCTTTGGTTAGAATTTGAAATAAACAATCATTTCTGGTGGTTAGTTTGGTCAACAGGATGGTGTCACTACTATGACAAAACATTGTTAGGGATTTTAAGCACTTTGTAGTATTTTTAATCTTTTCACGTTCGTTTTGTGTCAGGGGAGAAACGTGACCAAAGGATTTCAAGCCGCGCTGTAAGGCAAGAAGGACTTATCGTGTAGTTGTTATTAGATCACCGCTTTGGAATCCGTCACAGATCCGTATATGGTATCTCTCAGAGTAAACTGCTATGTACTGACAGATACGGTGAATAAAGTACTTATAGAAATTGTCTAGTCTCACAACCATTTTAGGTAGTTGTACAATGATATAAAACTTGAATTTAATGTTGAACCTAATAAGTAAGGTAAGTACAATAATACTAGAAACAGATGTAACGCGAGCTGCTACAAGGCTATGACATGTTATTCGCAAGTATGGAATGGATAGCGAACTTCAGTTCTTTATCTATTTACACAAAATTCCAACTTTGTGTAAAATATGAGTGTCATCTAAAGGTTACGTTTTAAAAAAAATCAAGGTATTAAGCAGACATGGTTATATCTGCCTAATGCCTTGATTTTTCTTATAGAAATCAGAACGAGTGCAACAAAACAACACAAGCACCGAGATGGGCCGTCAGAGGATGCAGGCGCGTGCCGAGTTGAACGACCACGGCACGGGGACCACGCGCGCGTTTCACTTTCATCGCATCCCGGCGAGACCGCGACCACGCGACCGCCATTACAGAACAACATCATTCATCACTTCATCACCACGACCATGCATTGATTGTTTGCCTTATACAGCACTTTGTACGACTCACTTATTTGGACAACAGGAAACGGAGCAAGGTTTTAGTCATTTATTGACGGATTCAAACAGCTGACGTAACAAATACAACGATTAATTACCCAAATCCCTCTACAATCATACGTCAAGTATAAGGTAATTAAGTTAATGCATATTTACACAAAGAAAGTGACCAATGGGCCTCGAGTAGACATCCGTTCGAACCAAATGCATAAAATTATATTTTCTTTCATATTTCACGGTTTCTCTGACATTTAGCCTCTGCCACTTTCGCCGATTTTACGATTTCATTCAACAGAACGTAGCTACAACGTAAAGATTAGAATTGTACGCTATATGATTATGGTCTCTAATAGTTTCCATACATGACAAGAGAGTGACTCAACAAAGATATTAAAATTTGAGAGGTCTAATTGGGTTATTTTGCATATAAACATTGATAATGTGAATAGTTGTATTCAGCGTCATGCCGCTAATTTTAAGGTTATAGAGAACTGTGCCGGTCAACGACTTATAGCCTTTATAATATGAATGCAGGAACTAGGAAGTTATGTACGCAACAGCTGCAGTAGCAGACACATTTTCAATTATCACTGTTTATGTTTGCTGGGCTTTGTTTATGTTTTATTTTTAGTACCTGTGTCGTATGTGCATTTTGTCGTATGCCGTTATATTTTACGAAAATTCATAAAACCCTGTCTTACAGTTATGAAAGATCCCTAAAACAAACAACTAGTAAAATGTCTACATAACTCTGTATATAAATTAACTTTAATTAAAACTGGCTGCTCCAATTTAGATTATCTTGAAATTGGTAGACTTGACGTAACAAAATTGAAAGTAAGCTAGATGATACGCCGTTTTTCGAACGAAATCACTAGACGGTAGAAAAACCTCTGCAAAAACTGCGGCCTTTAACCGGTAAAAATCGTTAAAGTGTTGTTTCCTTCCTTCAGTAAGGTCATAAGATAAAGTCGATGCTTCACTACTTTATGGTGATCAGGACCATTTCTTTGAATTAAATTCAAGTTCATTCGGTAATCCAAGATTTACAAGTGGAATTTTTCGTCATTTGTATTTAACGATAAGAAATAAGAGAAATCAGAATCCACGATTAAAGTGTCGGAGTAAATACGTCTTTTCCGAGGATAGAGCACTTATTCTCAGATTAT